CTATTTGAAACTGCAGAAAAAGCACACCTCCAGAAAACGTACCAACAGCCAAATGTATTGCAAATACCGACATTCTCGGCTGACTCGATCATCAAAATTCAAAGAAGAAAATCAAAACAGACCCACCCCCAACTGGAGGAGGAAAAACCCGTAAACAGTGGCGTCTGTTAGACACGAAAGGCTGCAAGTACCAGCGAAATGTGCATAGCGGCTGTCATACTCAGCCAAGGAACCATAAAATAGACAGTCGTCAAGTACCAAAATTATGCCTGGTATAGTGATAGCAGTACTAGTAGTAGTAGCAGTAGTAGTAGTAGTAGTAGTAGCAGCAGTAGGAGTAGTAGTAGTAGTAGTAGTAATAGATTTAAACATTGTATGTTGTTTTTGGATTTGTTGTTTTTGAAGGGTCCTGGGCATTCTGCAGACCAAAATGTGAGGATGCTCCACGCGAGAGCTCAATTTTAAACCGAAACTTGAGGACGCTCTAAGCGGGAGCTCAGTTTGGCGTCAAAATTCCATGCGAGAGCTCAATTTTGAGCCCAAATTTGAGGATGCTCACTCAATTTAGTGTCGAATTGTGAAAAAACTCCAGGCGAGAGAGCTCAATCTGTAAGGATGCTCCCGCGAGAGCTCAGTGAATATAGTGATCACTGGAAGAGACACACGAGAATAAATACTACTTGTTGTAATAATACTGAAAGTAATCATAGCTGTGGTGATCAAATGAGCAGACACAAAATTGACAATGATGAAAAGAATAGTACGCGACAAGCGGATAAGAAATGTATCAACAATGATAATATCCATAGCCCTCCCTTACCCTCCCTTACGGCCAAAATGGCGATGAAATGCTTTTAAGCCTAAGCATGCATGGCTTAAAACAGCAGAGGCTTGGAATTTGCAAACAAATCATCCGCACAGCCTTCCCCCACTGCACATATGGTGGTGACATGATTTCTTACCGTAATTCAGCGTGGATGGCTGTAAAAAAGGGGTTGGGGCGGGGTAGAAGCCAAGAAGCCAGCAAGAAAGCCCAGGAGTCAGGAAGCAGGAGAAAGCCCAGAAGCCAAGAAGCCGAGAAGCGAGCAAGCCAAAAAGCCTAGAA